GAGTGAATCGCCACAACGAGGACTAGCTTGTCGGCAAGCAAGTGAACCTCGGTAAAAAATCTTGTGTCACCTTGTCCGAAGATTTCATTAACTATCTTGTGATTGATTGATTGGCTCCATCTTGTAATTGGCTCATACCTCGACACATTGATATAATCATCGCCATTCTCTCTTGTATTACATTCCTAGTGTGTAAGCTAAGCTCTTTAGTGTAATTAGTTTTGAGAGATAGCTTGCGTCGGGACTCGTGGTTAGTGAGGCTCTTTAGTTAGTCTTTGAGAGCTCACTAACTTAGTATAGCGACATAGCCATTGTGTGGATATAGACTATAGAAACTAGAATTGTGGTAGGTGGCTTGCATTTTTAGTAGGCTAGCACAACACTCATTTTGCTTCATATTTATCTAACCGGTTTGCTAAGTGTTGTTGTAGAAATTTTTAATAGGCTCTTCACCCCCCTCTAGTCATTAGGACCTTTCACCTGGATTGTTGGGTCATCTTCCCTAGGTCCACATGACAATGTCTCCCTCAAATGTTTTAACACCTCTAAACACATGGGATCCATTTGCTCTAGTTGCAGCACTAAACTAGCTCTAGTTTCAGCAGCCTAGTCTATGGATGATGGACACATGCACTACCTCTCACATGGGCTCCACTGATGGTATTCTGCTCTCTTGCCTTCTTCCTTACTCTGACATTACCATTGTGAACAACTCTTTTATTCCAATTGTTGCTTGGGGTCGTTCCATCGTTCCTATCCCTAATTGCACTTTTTTATTAAACAATGCGCTGGTGGTACCTTACAAAACTTACTTTTTGTTCGCCCAGTTCACACATGTAATTCTTGTTCTATTGAATTTGTGACAATCGTTTACTATGACAACATGAATGCAGTCTACATGACAAGCAACCCTATCCATCACCGCTGCACGAAACATATCGAGATTGACATTGATCAGTTTGTTCATGAAAGTGTTGCTTTGGGGGCAAGTTTGAGTTCTGCATATCCCGCCAACACATCGGTTTGTGAACATCGTGACTAAAGGACTGTTGATAGTTCATTGATTTTAGATCCAGTCTTTATGTCTGGGATCCTTCGGCTGCAACTGTAGGCATGCTTAGAGATAGAGCTTGACTATGACTTGTATTGTACTCTTCTTATAAGAGAACTCGTATCCCATCTGTATGTAATGAAAGGTCACCTAACCGGCTAAACCTAGGGTACGAGGTGTTTTCCTATTTCCCACTGCGTGGATGTTAATCATGTGAAATTATTTGTTCATATACATATAGGCCCAGTTTTGACCTACTACTAGGCTACGCTAGCAAGTATCAAGTTCTCTTCTTGTAAATATTTGTTGCATACTCTCTCTAATCATAAATTAAGGACGTTGGATTGTTTTAAATCAACGATTTTAAAATTTTAGTTATATATTACATTTTATGTAAAGTTGGATGCTTGAAAATGATATGAGTGGGTTTGCCTCAGGATGTAGGGCCTGTTTGGAATCGCTTAAAAGCGGATTCTCAGTGACAGAACCCGACAATCGCGCCAAACATGTCGTAGCCATTGTGTTTTTTTTTCACCACTTGAAGCCATTGACTACAAAATTTAAACTAGGGTCCTGATTTTGGGTACCATAGCTCTCCCACCACGGATGGTGTACCGCACTGCACAGTGGGCACAAGCCAAACCAAACGTGGCCATAGTTTCATAAAGCATACTTTTATTTCCTTTTATAAATATTTTGTCACAAAAACTACTAATCAAAGTTATGTTTTGTAGACTGTTTCGACGTTCAAAATATTCTTTTTTTTTTCCTGAAAGAAGCAATATCCTACTTTCCTGATCTATAAAGGGACCAGTACTTATTAGGTTATGTTAGTTGGTATGACAAAGAGGGCTTTGGGTAGGCATGAAGCTGTTAATGATCGTGCCGTATGCTGGTAGATTACATGTTTGCCAAGTTTCTGCAACTTAACCTCACCGTGATAAGCATCTGTGTTCCTGCTGCAGGGAAAAAGTCAAACCCCTATTAACATGCATATGCCAGAATTTCTTCCTTTGATGACATTCTGCGACATCGCTACAACAGGTGCAGTCGTGCGGATGCGTGAAGTATAAGCCCCCCCTTTGGCATGGCTCTCGCACCGGCTTTTGCAGCACCTTTTGCATAAGCTGTACCAAACGCATGAATTGAAAACGGCTTCATCGCGTGAGCCGGCAAAAGCCGTATGCCGAAATGAACTGGGCGTCGCGAGCCAGAAATAATGGCTCCCCCGGCTTCTCCCCGTCTACGTACAGAAAGTTGGAAGAAATTATCGGTTTGCCACTGCCTCAATAATTCCCCATACCGGTTCCTCACTCTCACCCATCCGCATCCTCTCTCTCACCCATCCGGCTCCTCTCTCTCACGGTCCTCGCGCGAGTCTGGCGGCGGCGTTGCGGCCATGAACCGGCTGGGGCGGACGGCCGGAGGCGGGTGAAACGGCGGCGCAATGGATGGATCCGGCGGAGGGCATCCTGATCCACCTGCTCGTTTTCCCGGAGGCGCGGCTTCCCCTCATCCGGCCGGCGTTGCTTCTCTTCATCCCGCCGGTGCCGCCTCCCCTCAACCCGCCGGCGCCGCCTCCATTCAGGCCGCCTCCCTTCGGGCCGCCGGTGCCGCCTCCCCTCAGGTGCCTTCTCATCATCCCGCCGGTGTCGCCTCCCTTGAGGCCGCGGGTCATGGCGCAACGGCCGTGGCTGGGGACGCCTTGGGCGCGGGTGGATGCCGCCTCCCCTGAGGCCGCGGGTCAACATCACTTTGTAACGACCACCTAATTATTAGCTTACCTATATTTTATATATTTTTTATTTCACGCAAATCACATTATTAATAGAGTCAACACATAAAACTCATATCTCGAAGCAATAAACATATGCAAGGGCACAATGGACAATTGACATCTTCTATACATTCTAAAAAGCTAGAAGAAATCGTTTTGCCAAAGGTTTTCGTACAAAATAAGCTAGAGCCAGAAAAAGCTGCTTTTCCAGGAGCCAGAGCCAGAGCTATTTTTTCACGAGCCAGAGCCATTCCAAACAGGCCCTAAATACTATGGAACTTGTTGCATATTGTAGTGGGTGTTATAGTGTGCTTGCTTTGCTAATGCTCCATACTAGTTGTCAGTTTTGCAAACAGGAAAAAGAAATAAAAAAAGGGAAAGAGAAGTCATTTCTGTTGCCAGGAGCCAGCTGTGCATACATTTGAAAATTGAAACGCTGTTCTGTCAAGGTATATGGTTGAATCTGGCAATCTGGCTGCAGTTTTGGCTTTTTTCATTATTGCATTGCATACGATGATATGATATGAGAAATTGCTTAGGGAGCTAATCTGTGAAAATCAGAACTTTGTCCTTGCCTATCCGTTTGAATGGATCTCCCAATGGATGGCGATTTGGACCCCTTGCTTCTCCGATACACGGTGCCCAATTTTCTCACTGGTCACGGACTCACGGCGATGTTTGATGCATGGTAGCCGAGAACGGATCGTGTTTTCATGTTGTAGCAGAGGGTGTGTTTGTTTTCTGTCCTATTTTTAGCCCGGCTAGAATTCTGGCCTGGACAGCCCAAGCCTGGTTCCAGCAAGCCAATCTATAGTTGTTTGGTTGCATGTATTGTCTAAGCCTGACTAGCATTGGGTGTGTTTGGTTGTTTAGTTTGTTTTGCATAGAATTACCTCTTCTTTATTCTGGTAAGGTTACCGCCTAGACATTTCGTCGAACACCTAATCTGCATTCTCGAACACCACCATGGCTGGCTGGTCACCACCGACGAGGCCTCCAATCTGCACCTCATCAACCCCGTCACCGGCACCTAGGTCACGCTCCCGCCCATCACCGCGCTCCACCACGTCGAGCGCAGCACGGACGAGCACGGCGACCCCGCCTACCTCATCTACGAGAACAAGAAACGCTACGATTATTCGAAGTTTCGATCTGACATCGACACGGAGCTGACGATCTGGAGGTGGACCAGGCGCACCACTACGACAGAGCAGCAAGGTGGCACCACGGCAGAGCAGGGCGGCGCCACGGCAGAGCACCACGACAGAGCAGAGCGGCACCAGGGCTTGCGCCCAGAGGTGGCACCACGGCGAGCAGGGCGGCACCTTGCGTTAGGCGCCACCTGTGGTCCTGCCGCCGCGGTCCTCTTACGTATCCGCCGCTGCGGTCCTCTTCCGTACCCGCCGCCGCATGGGGGTGGCCAACAGGGAGGGCCGCCGGATCTACATCGAAGGAGGAGGTGCTCTGCTGGGGCCTCCACGGCGGTCACGGCCCCGAGCTTCCCCTTGGTCGCCATGGCCGGATCTGCAGTGGCAAGTGGCGGGGATGAGCAGGGGACCTCCACCGACGGGGAGGACGAGCAGGAGAACACCACCGCCGGGGAGGAGCAGCAGAGTACCGGGGGGAGGAGCAGCAGAGCAGACGAAGGTGACGGGAGTCCTGGGCAGGCCACAGTAGTACGGATGGCCAGTATTAGCCGGGCTCTAGCCACTTCCAAGCAACCAAACGTGTCAAAATTGGTTAGGGGTTGGTCACCTAATCAAACGCACCCAATAGCTACCGTCTGTTCCTTTCTCGAGCCGGAGTGAAGGCAAGCAGCAGCGCGTCCAATACGGTTTCATCGGCTGCTGTCGCAGCGAAATGGCCCAACAAACGCAGGCACGCATCAGATCAAAAGATTCATCCAGTCATCGAGAACTCGTTTAAGGGCCCAGCAGGATCATAATTATACTGGACCGGGCTTTAGGCGGGCTCTAGGTAAGCCTTCTCCCCTGCCTGTCACCGCCACAAAGCCGAAAAGCCGACCAATTCCATCGATTCTCTCCCGACCCCGTCACCGCCGCCGCCCCGCCTTGCGCCGCGCAGGGTTTAGGGTTCAGTTTCAGTAGCGGCGGCACCAGCTTTTCTCCTCAAGAGAGCCGCGGCCACCGCTAAGGAGACGAGCTATCGGCGATGTCGTCTATCGCATCGCAGCTGAAGGCCATCAAGTCGGCGCTCGGCGCCGCGCCGGAGCCGGCCCGGCGGCCCGTCACCCGGCCGTCTGTGCTCTTCGACGCAAAGGAGGCCGCCGACATCGACCTCCGTGCCATCCTGCCCATCGCCCTCTCTGGTGCGTACCGCTAACCACCGACCTGATTGGTTCTAGCATGCTGATGCTTCTAGAGTAGCCAGTATTTCATGGAGGAAAACTTGGTGGCTTTTTCCGCTAATTCGAGCGTTCTAGAATTTTGTTTGGTTCTTATTTGAGCTCCCATATAATACTCCAATCAGCTTTCTCCGAATTCCCTCTGGAGTTTAGCTGCTACTTGCAGGTTCATCCCATCCGAGTACAGAGTACGCCTAGTTGTTTATGCTTGTGCAGTTATTCATGTGATTTTCTGAAACTTTACTAATATCTCAAAATGAACGAAGTTCTGAAAAACAAAACCGATTTAGTTTTGCATATGAGGTACTTCATCATTCAAAGAGCTTCTATTCCTCTACAGTATCTGAATCAAATTGCTTTTCAGGGTTGGAGCACCTTACCAGCATAGACGAGAGGTTTGCAAGATACAGCAACACTCTGTTCAGGGAGACTAGCCTTGAGGTGAACCGCGAACAGCTGACTCCCAAGGAGAACGACAAACTCAACAAGTCCATCTCCACCTACCTTCGCCTTCTAGCTGGCTATTTGCATCTTCCCTCTGCCCTCAAGACCCTCGAATACCTTATCCGCCGATACCTGTACGAACCTAGCTCAGCTACTTTTGACGATGGCTCCTACGAGCTCTAGCTTATTGTCTTCTTTCTGGTGGAAACCTTCATGTAGGGTGCATGTATACAATTCGGATGAGTTGCTGCTGAGCGCACTGCCATACCATGATACACATGCGTTTGTCCGGATCGTGCAGTTGGTCAACGTAGGGTGAGTGTGGCTCTGGTCTGGATTGATGCTTATTTTCTCCATTGGTCTTCAATATTAACTTGTTGCTCGATGATGTGTTTTCAGGAATAGTAAGTGGACATTTCTTGGTGGCGTCAAGTCCTCAGGTGCGCCACCACCCAGGAGTGTTCTAGTGCAGCAGTGCATCCGTGATAAGGCTGTGCTGGAGACCATCTGCAGCTATGTAAGGCCGAAATTAATAACCCTTTTAATGGTTGGATTCTGTCATGATTTTGGATCTTATTTGTTGATAATTCATTTTACTTCCAGGTTACACCAACAAAGGAATTCAGTCACTCAAGGACGGTTGTCTGCTTTTGCACTGCTGTGATTGTTGAGTGCTTGGGTGCTGTCCCTAAGCTTGACACAGATGTAGTGCAGAGGGTGTTGGGATTTGTGTTTGACTCTCTTAATCCTGCAGTGACGCGAGACCAGGAATACAAGGTTACCTCAAATGATTTGTAACTTTTTTGGCCCCTTTTCAATGATTGAATTCGTAACCTTATATTTTCTTTTTCTTTCCCTTTTAATTTGCAACCCTCAACTGGATAGTGTGTGTACACTACTTCGTATCCCTCGTTATGAACCTTTTATTGTGCTATCTGGATTTACTTACCGTAAAGAACTATTGACATCCTGCTTTCTGAGCATAGTTATAACTATAGTTATGTTGGATCTTTATGACCAGGCTGGCGCTCTTATGATTGTTGGAGTACTTGGAACCCGGGCGACTCTAGCGCCTAAACTTGTCCAAAATTTGATTTTCTTTGTAGCAAGGACTGCGCAACATGATGCATCTGAGTCAGTTGACTTGCCATGGCTTCGTGTCTCGGTGATGGCTCTTATAAGTCTTGTTCAGGTTTGGATTCAACTTCTTGTCATACATATCCTTAGGAAGTTCTGGCTTGCTATGTAAATATATTGAACTCAATATAGGTGATGCTGAGCTAGAAGTATTGATAAATGTCTGCTAATTTTACAGTCCCAATCTGTCCATGATTTCCCTAAGAAGCCATTGATGATTTTGAAAGACATCAGGTTTACTGTTGTTTTCCCAGCATATACATTATATATTTGCTCTGTTTCTGTTTCTCCTTCTGGTGTTGAAGTGTTGAATTCCTATGGTAAACTTTTTTCAGGGATTTTTCTGGTATACTTTCTGTATTATCCAGTGAATACAACATCGAGAGATTCATTAGGCTTTATGTTGAATCATTAATTGACTACAGGTGATTTTTTGCTTATCTGATGTGATTATATTTGCATATTTCTCCCTGGCTTTGTATGAATGTTTATAACTCTTAACATGTGAACAGTATTTCCGATGGTTCCTGCCACATGCACCTGATTGAAACTATTGAGACTCTGCCGGTGAAGAATTTCATTGAAAGTATTGTGTGCAAGGTTCTTAGAAACTGTATCAAGGTATCTCAGGCCACAGGAAACCCAGATATCAATCACACAGGTAGCTGGAACAGCTGCTTCAATTCCATTTTAAACTTACCAAATAATTTTCTTTTCTTTTTTGTGCATACGTTTATTTTAAGCATATCGTGGTTTTCTGTACTGTATGTACTATGTAGTATTTCATATATATTGTTCATCTATTTTCCAGAATTATGGGCTAAGAAAAATTTTAGCGCACTTGAAAGAAAATATCCCCTGGAGCTACGTGATGCTATTCGTAAATTTCTTGAGGTACCAGATGACACACTTTCCACTTATGGAACTTGTCAGTTCTTATTGCCGTTGTTTGACCCTTCTTTCTCCCTGTTCTCAGAACTCTGAAATTAATTCATCGGGAGGGGATTCTATTTCTGAGGTTTTCGGCATAGTGTTTGATGAAAGCAAGAACTTGCCAACTGAAATATCCGACTCGAACATTTGGTTCAGTCTGGATCATCCAAAGGTACATATATGATATGAAACTTGGTGTAGAATTTTACTTTCCGTGGAAACTCTGGTGAATTTTATCCTATCTTAATGCCTCTAGAATGATTTCTTGCCCTTCAAATCATATTTTGGATAGTGTGTTTTCTAGTCTTTGATGCAGTGCAATTTTATATATGATGCAGGCTGCGGTTCGTCAATCTGCTCTCTCAAAAGTTGCTACATCTGGCATCTTCAATAACAGTACTCTAAATCCACAGGTAACAAATTTTGCTCTCTCGAAATGTTTGCTTTTATATGTTCATTGTTTTATTGAAGCTTTCCTCAGATGATGATCTACTGGCTTATGTTTCTAATTCTGAGTTCGTGCAGAAGTTTATCAATATGCAAGATGCTATATTATGCAGTCTGTGTGACGATGATCTAAGTGTTGTCCAAGCTGCTTTATCCATAGAAGGACTAGCTGTTGTTGCCAATCCTGATAGCCTGTTAAAAGCATATGATGGCGTGCTCACCAAATGCATCAAAATCATTAACAAAGGTGGGTATTCTTCAATGTCTGCTTGTTTTTTGGTCCAATTGAATGAGTTTTTTTTTTAAAAAAATTCTAGGGAAGAGGTCTGCAGAATTATTTATATTGCCTTCTACCTTTTTCTATCCATTTACATGAGATCTATAGCTAGTTTATAGTGCACTTTAAATATAAAAGCACTGGTAAAAACTAATTTATTCATGAAGGTTTTTAAATAATAGAGATCAGCATTGACAGAAAGTGCATCCATTGATGTCTTCTAGCCTGGACCACCAAACCAGATGTTTTATGCCACTTCTTTTGCTGTATATTCATTGTAGCTAAGGTTCATTAGGTTGTACGTTGGTTTAATATTTCTATGTTTGCCCTTGTTCTGAACCCTTTATCTGTGATTTGATCTGAAATGTTCTATGGTACGGACGTATGGTGATATAGCACATTGGAAAGTATTTTTTTAATCACGGCTATATGAATTTTGTTTATGATTCTCCAGGTGGTTCAAAAGCATCAAAAGCTTCTGATGTTGCTGTTTCTTGCTTGGAAAAGCTGGTAACGGAATACCAATCGCATCATATGGAACATGCCAAGGATATAGCTACATTAGTGTTTCGTCTCCTTATTGTTCACCCAAAGGTTACCTAGTTATCTTCCATTATTCTATCTACCCTTTTGTACTGTCATGTGTTGATTCTAACTTTCAGTGTTGAAATGGAACACAGACCCTTAGGGTGAACTTAAAGGCCTTGGAGCTAGCTAAGAAAATACAATGGGAGTTCTACACAAGTAGTTCTCTTGTATATGATGGGGTCAATTTTGATAAAATGAAGGTGAGGTTTCTTACTGGCCAGACTAATTGTGCCTCTTGCTATGCTGTGTTGATCTTTAGTGTAAGCCTATCACCCCCGCTCCCCAGCATTTGTGCATGATTGCTCTTATTCTTAATGCCCATATCTTGAACCCTTAGATATTTGAGGCTGTGCTTTTTATGATTGAAATGTCTATTTTCTTGATGTTTCGATCTATATGATCATATTTTGTTCTGTTTGTTTGTATGTAATTCTTCTACCCATTATGTTGTTACAGAACATGAGTGCAGACTCCATTGCTTCTATTAACATGAAGAACATCAAAGCTTTTGCTGAGACTTTCCTAGCTGACCCAAATAAGCATGTGGAGTGGTTGGCTAACTCTGGAAGTGGAAGTAGATTTTCTAAAACTTTGTTTCTACTCATAGTATTGCAATCACTTGTTTCCACAGAAGGTATGCCCATCTTTGCTGTTCACTTTGCTATACCATTCTGGTAGAACTTATGATGGTTGCAATAACAATTCTGTTCTAATTATTATTTATTATCATGTGCTACTGAGAGTGCTGTTATTTACTCCATGAAATCCTTAACAATTGTCAATTCTTTCTCTTGGTATAGCACCTGTCATCTAATAGTTCCTACCTCCCTTGCGCATGCATACTAAAAAAATATCTCTTGAATGATATATAAATGCTGTATATAACAGACTCCTGTGATCCTGATATGTTGGCTTCTTTGCAAGACAACCATATAGGCTGATATTTACTTGTTCCTTTTCAGTTTTGGACGAGCAGGTGAATCTTTGTCATGCTTGTTTGCCAGTCCTGAAGGATGAATGGCATAACATACAGCCCGAAGATAGTGGTGTTGGCGATGAGGTATATTCTTTACTTTACCATTCAATGTTGAATGATATGCCAATATTGTATGGCCATAAACCTTTCTTTCTTTCTTTCTTTTTTTTTTTTTTTTTTTTTTTTTTTTTTTTGCTTTGCAGATCAGCATTGACAACCTTGAGATGTGCAGTTTAGAATTGGTGAAGCATTTTTTCAACAGAGACACAGAGGCATTGAATGTTAGAATCCTTGTCTGTATATTTTGGGGTATCCTAAAGGTGCAGTCCTCCTGTTTTAAGCAGAATCCCGTGGTATGTAACTGTCAAGCAATAGCAGCTTCACCTATTCTTCTCACTTCCCTTCCGAGAATATGTCATGATGTTTGCTATATTTCTGTTATATATATCCAGGTTGGCGGTGGTGAAAACACAATGCTGGATGATTTGTTTCTCTTCTTCCTTGTATCACCTGCCAAAAATATCTTCCAGAAGCACCTACAGTATCTTGTTAATTGCATTGGAGCACCTTTTCAATTTATTTCGAAGTACTTTCTGGATGAAGGTTTGCTACATTGTTCTCCCCCTTAAGCAAAGCTTATTCTGTTACTCTACCAGACTAAGCATGTGGTAGATGGGTATTTTTCATTCTTAGTGTTGTGCTTTTGTCTAAACTTGATATTTTATACTTTGACTTTGTTTTTAGGGGCATAGTTTTCTATTGTTTTGCAGTCAACCAACCTATAATATGTTCTTAATAATTGTTCTATCAGGCTGTGATTTCTCCTTTTTGGGCAATTATTAGTGACGGCCCATGGTTTCCAGTGTTCCACATCCCAACAGCAAATAGTGTGTTTAGTTTTTCAAAAGATAACAATAAGATATTGCAATTATTGTATGGATTGTCAGTATCCATTAAATATGATACCAAAAAAAGTGTAGGAGTCATAAAGTTGTGGATTGGCTGGATCCTTAGCGAACTAGTCTTGGCTAACCCATAACCAGTTGAGGAATCTCCTTTTCACACTATTCCTGTTTTGATGCTTCTATTTCCTAGCTGATCTAGTGTTTCCAAAAATGGTCATATGACACCCAGTGTATAAAGGTAGCCTCACTAATCACAACAACAACAACAACAACAAAGCCTTTAAGTCCCAAACAAGTTGGGGTAGGCTAGAGTTGAAACCCAGCAGAAGCAATCAAGGTTCAGGCACGTGAATAGCTGTTTTCCAAGCACTCCTATCTAAGGCTAAGTCTTTGGGTATATTCCATCCTTTCAAGTCTCCTTTTATTGCCTCTACCCAAGTCAACTTCGGTCTTCCTCTGCCTCTCTTCACGTTACTATCCTGGCTTTGCCCACTAATATTTGGAAAGGGCTTTGCCCATCAATCCGGCATCAATCAGAACCTCAAGTTACTAGGGAGAACCCTGGCAACCTGAGGGTGATCAGGCCTTATCTTGCCGTCACTATTTTGTCTGCATACCGCATGTCCACATTGCATGTACTGGTTCTATTTGGTTTTATTTACTAGTGAAAAATTAAGGATTGAACTTCTGCAAGTGCAGACAACATTACTTAACGTGTAGTATGGACACAATTTTTTTCCCTCGTTGTGTTTTTTTTAAGGGTGCTTGCAATGTAGACATGGGCTCAAGGGGACACCAGAATCATTCTATTCCTCTTGTTAAATGCCTGTGCTTTTGCAATGATTTTTTTTTTTTACATTAATATCATATTACCCAGCACCCAGCGTGTTAAGCTGTCACTCAGCCATGCTTCATGGGAGCTTACATTGCACATCTTTTACAGCGCTTGACCTACACAACACCCTTTTCTCTGCCTTTGATGACTGGCTGAGTTCCATAGTTGCAAGTGTTACACCTCCATAGCCATGCCTTGTCTTTCATTGTTGTAACCAAGTTCATTGGTGGCCGATTGCTTTTCTAATATTTTAGTGTATAATAACTCGTTATTCCTTAAGCAACTTGCCCATCCCTTTATATTCATCTTTTGTAAATTATTGATGATAATCCTGAAGTTTATGTAGATTTATCAGAAAGAGTTCAAGCGGAGAGTCTTCTTGTGCTTGCATCTATTTGTTCCAAGTGCGCTTCCTCTGAAAGTAATAGCTTGGATGAAAGCATCTGTATGCAGCTTCTACTAGGCTTTCCTTCCATTATTCCCCCACTCGCTCATGATAACAAGGTATGAATACACCCCCAATACTTTTTGTGTCTGGTAATCTGTGAGCTAGCTCCTTCTGTTGTCCTGCTTACAGCTCTTCTATCTAGATATTGAACATGTTTATTGTCTTATATGTTGTAGGATATAAGGTCATCTGCGATTAAGTGTATTGAGGGGTTATCTTTGGTGTGGCAGCGCTTGAGCACTTCAGTACCAAGAAATGGTCTGTTAGCCTTATCTTCATATTTATTTCCATGTGGACCAATTCGTTGTTGATATTTATTATCTGATCTAACATATACAGGAAACAACATCAAATTACCTCAATACTTGTCATCACCAACTTTTGGTAGTTTCCTTGACTTGTTGGTTAACCAAAAGACCATGATCTCCTCGGACGCAAAATTTCTTCCTGCATATATTTCATCTATGCTGAGCCCATGTAATGATATGCTGGTTCCCGAGAATCTCCATGAAAGGTTGTCCTGGTTTCATTCTTCTACAGATACACTTCTCTTGTGTACTCATTATTAATTGGGGTGTAACACTCTCTTTTGTTTCTCTTATCAGATTCGACCAGCATACAAAGGATACTATTCTTACTTTCATCTTGCGCTCTGCTTTGAAGCTCCCTCCTTATGGAAAGGTTGGTTGATCTGCAATCTCGAGTCAAATCACTAAGTCTAGCCTACTAACACACTCCCACACATTGTAATTCATTCACTTAACCCCAATCACTACCACAGAAGCAAATGCATATGCATGGGCACCTATTTTTTGATGGTGGTTGATATTTTGAAACATGTTGCAGTTTATGGTTCTGTCAGTCCTGAAAGGAGTAGGAAGCATCTTATTTCATGCAGAAGATGTGAAGTCTCTGTTCTTTGATCTTCTGGACCGTCGTGATCAGTATCAGCATCGACATAATTGCAGTCAGATCCTATCCACCCATGAAATGCATACCTTATGCTTGCTTTTGGAGGTAAACATGTCATCATGATTTGTATATATATGTCCATGGATGATAGTATATATGTCGTCAAGTAGAATAGCCATTATGCATATTTACTGCCGCTGTGTTTTTTGTAGGTTTTGATCTCAACGCCAGATCATGCAAATATTGGTTTTAACATGTTCAAACCTCTGATGAAAGCTTTAAAGGTGAGCAAAACCTTCTGTTAACTACAGATATCAAAATTACCTTCTGGACTCAACTAACTGTATAGAACTTTAGGTTGATGCTCCGTCTCCAGGTGATCCTGTTGTTGTGATGCCATGTCTTACTGTCCTGCAGAATCTTCAACCAGGGTTCTTTGATAATTTAAAGACCGATACTAAGGTTCTTTTCTTGCATTATATCATCCCACATTACATTTGCTTTATTTTAGAACTGCTTGTTTGGTGCCATTTCAATTATCTGCACATCTTACACAGGAAAAAACTTGGAGTCCTTTTTTTTACCGTCTAGGAATTTTTCTTGTATATGCAACTAAATTGTTCTGCATACAGTAATTTGCCATTGCATAATTTACTGAACAAAAGCAGCATATAATATATTTTTGGCAATGCTAAAGGTTATATTTGTAGCAAGTGATATTGCTTGTCTTGCGTATCCATTTATGTTAACCCAATAAAAAAATTGTTGGATGTGCAATTGTGCATCATGTCTTAGTATATCACAATGTCATTTTTATATGATTGGTGTACCATGAGCCTATGAAATTTGAGTGCAATTATGCTAATGGGTAATCGTCACTTTTCCTGAATTTCTTTTGAATTTGCCACCATTCCTAGTTTTTTGTGTTCTATACTGTATAACTAGCTAGGTCTCACTTTGTCACATGTTTGGTTCTGATATTATTTATACTTTTGGACATAATTTGATCTTAAATGTTATAATTTCTGACATGTATGTGATCATAAATGAGGTTACTTTGGCATATGTTTGTACCTGTCGAGATTACCATTTCTGCCTGATATATGATTTTTTTTTGTTTGGAAACTAGTAGATCAGGTTAGGTAAACATGAACCTTTTAACTATGCTTATTTAGGTAACATGCTTTTGCAGGAAAAAGTTGTTGGACGCCTTATTTCCTTGGTTCGAACTGAGAGTTTCAAAGTTCGAAATGCCGCACGGGATGCTTTACTGCGTATTAATGTTTGTATCTATACCCTTTTCTTTATTTTTACATTTTCCAGAAGACCAATACATCTGTTCTGTTGCTTAAGTTTTTCTTTTGTGTCCTGGAATTTATTATCCCTGTATTTGATGTTTACTGTTATATACCCTTTTTACATTTTTGCTTGCGGCAGGTTCATTCTTCCACTTTGGTCAAGTTTATTGAATTAATTTTAGCACTTGATGGCGCAAGAAGACATTCAAAAAAGATAAAGAGAAATGAAGATCGGAATCTTGACGTGTTTTGCAGTTTTGAGGAGATATTTGGAGAAAACTCTGTAGCTTCTATTCTTGTTTCTCTTCTAGATATCTTGTTTCTTAAGAAAGATGTGAAGCAAAGGTCTGGAACTACATAACTATTTTTGTGTAGTACCCTATGTTGTCTACGACTGACATGTCACCCTCATGCAGGTCGTGTTTATTGCAACCTCTTTTCCAGATTCTATCGAAGCTCCTTTCTGATCAATGGGTCTCAGTAATTGTTAGTCAGTATAACAACCAACAAGATACCTCATCTGAAATCCCTGATTTATCCAGTTTTGTAAAAGAAGTTCAACACTTGACACTGCTGGCCCTCAAAGATATTACAGATACACTACAATCGGGTCACCATGTACTTGCTTTTGTTATTTTCATTTGATCACTCCAGTTGTTCTTTTGAGGTTCCTTTATTTGTTTGGATTTATGGATTACATATCTTCCTGCAGGATGCAATGTTCAGCAGCTCCAATGTAGGTCTTCTTATTGATTGTGTACGGTCCATCAGCGATGTAGGAACTCGGAATCATGGCTTTTCCTTGATAGCTTCTTTGGGAAAGGCTTGCCCACAACTGGTGTCAGAAAATATTGTTGATTTGTTTGTCGCTATTGGGGATGCTATTAAACAGGTCTGTTTAAATTTTCTGGGGGCACATATGATCTTTCTGCAGTCCATTATTGACAGACCTTCATTTCAGAATGGAGTTTCTTTTTAAATTCTTTCTTATTCTAGGAGACTTCTTTCTGTGTGTTGATTTATACTACCACAATCATAATCTTTGCCAATGTTTACTTTGATTTTGAAATAGATCCACTTTTAATGTATTTTCTCATTTGTTTGTGAAAGTAATGCTACACAGATCCTTTTGGTTTCCTAGGAACACCTTTTTTTACCCCATCTGTCTGATATTTGCAGGATGACAGCCACTCACAACGTGTTTTGGAGGATTTATTATCTGTCTTAGTCCCATGTTGGTTGTCAAGGACCACAAGTATAGAAAAGCTTCTTCAGGTTCTCTATAGTTTTCCTTGAAGTTCCTTTCTGTTTTTCATTTTCTTGAACAGCAATGCATTAAAAGGTTGTGCACTGTTGCTGTTGCAGATATTCATTAAAGCTTTAGCAGATGTGCCTGAACATAGGCGATTGACGCTCATGGTTTACCTCTTAAGGTAGTTTTCTATCCCTAGTTCATTAACATTCTCTTATTTCTTGCTCACTCTATCCCAAAAAGAATTGCATTCTAGTTTTATCCTTAGTTAAACTATCTTAGGTTTGACTAAGTTTATACAAAGAATACCAATATTCATATTACTAAGTGTCATTAGATTCATCATGAAATGTAGTTTCATGCTGTACTTATTTGGTGTCGTAAATGTTAATAATCTTCTATATAAACTTGGTCAAACATAAAATAGTTTTGACATAAGACAAACTGACAAAGCTAAAGTGTGATTCTTTTTGGGACGGAGGTAGCATATGGCTAACTAGCTAAATTTATTATACTATTTTCAGGACCTTGGGGAAGGAAAATAGTTTGAGTACTGTGATCATGCATCTATTACACTCGTTGGTTGAGCGGATTTCGCACTCTTTTTCTGAACATCATGGGAGCGATTATAGATTGGCTATGTCACAGGAGTGGGAGTATGGATTGGCAGTAAATGTGACTGACCAATTTTCCTATAAATTATGGTTTCCTTGTTTGAGTAAGCTACTAAAAGACATCAGGGTCCATGAGAAGCAAGATCTACATCTTATGCTACATTTGGCAATGAGGCTTATTCTATTTAAGTTACAAGATACAGAATTGATTTTTGAACTTGAATCTGAGGAAGCTGCTAATTTTATCCAGGTAGCTCATTTGGTTTAACTGTTGCTCTATTAGTGTTTTTCTCTATGCTATGTTCTATTTTGCTCTATGAGTCTAATTAGTATTTTTTTTGTCATTCATTTACTGGCAAGTTAACAGTGAACTCCAGAAATTGTTTAGTCTTTTTTTTTATGTGCCGTCTTCTTTTGCTCTTGTAGGGTTCTCTTGGGGCACTTATGGAGGAAGTTGTCTTGTGTGGTGTGTATGCCAGAGATAAAACAAGAGATGTTTCTAGTGACATTACTAAAGAAGTCAGAGATTTTGCAAATACAATACTCAAAACTATTACAGGATGGATGAATGCTTCAACATATTTGACAGGAATTACTCGGCTGTTGGATCATTCAGATAGTCATGTGAAAAGAAAGGTACTTGTTGGTTAGCAGATTTTTTGTTCTATTGGTTATGTTGTAATTTTCACTAATTGATTTCCTTGGAAGCTACCTTTTTTCCAATGTGATCGCAATTGATTTGTACTTCTCTACAGACACTTGGGATGTTGTCTGAAACGGCCAGAGGAAACAGTTTGGTCCAGAAAAATCAAAGGAAAGCACGAAAACTGAAACATATATCTGGTACTACTGCTATCAAAGTAGACAAGAGCTCTGGTCCTTATTTCAGCAAATTGTGCTTAAAGATTCTGGAGTTGATTGACAGAGATGGTGATTCGGACACTAAAGTGAAAATTGCTGCTATTTCTTCGCTTGAAACACTAGCAAAAGAATATCCCTCTGATAATCCTGTTTATAGCAACTGCCTTGCAACAATCATTGATCAAATTGGCTCTGATGAGGCAGCTGTGTCTTCTGCTTTAATTCATACTGTGGGCTCTCTGATAAATGTGATTGGATCAAAAGCATTACCACAACTCCCATTAATCATGAAAAATATAATGCTAATATCACATCAAATTTCATGTTGCCCTAGTGGAAATTATGCTCATGGTTCCACTAGAACTGCCGCTGAACTTTCTAACCAAGACATAGCTGTGCTGCTGTCAGCACTGACAACAATTGAGGTGATTGTGGAAAAGCTGGGTGAATTTGTTAATCCATATCTGAAGGAAATACTTGATCTGGTAGTACTGCATCCTGAATGTAGCACTCAAATGCATCCCAAATTAGATGCAAAAGCAGCACGTGTTCGAGAGTTACTGACTGTAGAAGTTCCAGTATGTTCCATCTAAATTTATTCAGTTCTTTTCTTTTGTCATATGATGAAACATAAATGTGCCTATTTTTCCTTGGATCTCATCAAGTTATTGGCTGCAGGTCCGGCTTATCCTCTCACCTTTACTTAATCTGTACTCCCTTGCTGCAAATTGTGGAGATGCAAGTCTTTCGTTGGCATTCAATATGCTTGCTAGTCTAGTTGGTACAATGGACCGGCTGGCTGTAGGAACTTACCATTCGAAAATATATGAACATTGTTTAGCAGCTCTTGATCTCCGTCGCGAACACCCTGACTCTTTGAAGAATATAAATATGGTGGAGCAAAGTATTATTCATGCCATAATCTCTCTCACCATGAAGCTTACAGAGGGCACTTTTAGGCCACTTTTTCTTCGCACTTTGGAATGGGCTGAGTCTGAAGTTGACGAGTCCTCATCAAAGAAAAGTTTGGACCGTGCAATTGTTTTCTACAAATTGGTTAACAAACTTGCTGAAAAACACAGGTACCTTCATAACTGCATCAGATACTGTATCCTAAGTTGATTTAACCTTTCTTTAACTCAGTATTGACGCTATTGGTCTGTTGTATTAAGCTCATCATTATTAACAACCTCAACTAAAGCATGCTTTTGTCAACTACCAGCTTCCATATATTTTCTGTCCCTTGATTATTTAATTTTTCTGTGAAGGTCCCTGTTCACACCTTACTTCAAGTATCTACTTGAGGGATCTATACAGTATCTCTCTGAAGATGATGCTTTGGCTGGTTCAAAGCAAAAGAAGAAGAAGAAGAAGACCAAACTTGAAGATGTTCAAGTTGAACAGAAAGATAAATTGTTGGGGTTAAAACTGTGGAATTTAAGAGCTCTAGTTTTGAAATCCTTACACAAATGTTTCCTCTATGATAATGACCAGAAGATCCTTGATTCCTCTAATTTCCAGGTTAGTTGGTTCATAGTACAAGTGTTTCCTTTTTTGTTGTTGGCATGCTTTTGCAAGTCACAGAAAAAAAAAAGTGCATGGCTGTGACCTTTCATGTTCTGTTACCATTCTTTGTTCCTATGATATTAATACCATCTGTGGTCAGCCTTCAACCCATGCAGTTTTTCCCAGTGATATCTTTGTATTTTAATATATTTTTGGTGTTTGCAGGTTCTTTTGAAACCTATTGTCTCCCAGTTTGTTGTGGAACCACCAGAATCTATTGAATCAATTCTTGATGCTCCATCAATTGAAGAAGTAGATGAAACTATAATTTTGTGCTTGGGCCAAATGGCAGTCACTGCACGGTCAGATGTTCTTTGGAAGCCTCTTAACCATGAGGTGGGAATCTCTTAATGTTTTCAGTTTTTTTTTTTTGCCAAATAACCATGTGCAAAACCGTGGTTTAGAAAAAAAAAGGTCTAGGGTGGAGTATTTAAAACTCCAAAAAGACTACAGTTTCAGCAATCCATCGTATTCAAAACCATAAAGTTTGTTGCACCCACACACTTCATGGTACTCGAAAACCTAAAACCATGGTATTTTTCTAAAACTCCAAAAAAAACTTTGTATCCAAACAGGGCCTTAGTGATATACCTGCACTAACTAAAGTAATTTCCTAGGTCACAGGATTTAGGTTACCCTAATAAAATAATAATATAAAGAAATAGTAAAGACTAAAGACTATGAACAAGAGTGTGTACAGGATTTATCGTTCACTCCCTCAGTCTTACAATTTTCTCATAAAATTGCAGGTGCTGATGCAGACTAGGAGTGATAAAGTTCGCCCCAAAATGCTGGGCCTGAAGGTTATCAGGTACATGGTCCAACATCTGAAGGAGGAGTACGTCGTTCTCGTACCAGAGACCATCCCGTTCCTGGGTGAATTGCTCGAGGATGTGGAGCTTCCTGTCAAGACACTGTCGCAGGAGATCTTGAAAGAGATGGAAACCCTCAGCGGCGAAAGCCTCCGGCAGTACCTGTGAGCCTGTGAGGCCTCAGCTCCTCGCAATAGTACCGTCTGGTTGATGAACTGTAGAACATCCGCTCATTTCCTGTAGAACAACAGCTCAACAGGTCACCGTATTTGTCTGATGCCTGGAAACTTAAATCACATGTGTCTTCATGCAAGACAAGTGCAATTAACCAAACCTTATCAATATCTATCTATATCTATAACTCTATAACTAATAATAAAGAGGCAAAATTTCTCTTCACCTTTTTTTTTTGTCCGGCCATCCCTTAACTAACTTTGTAAATGTGAAAAATCACTTATAGCCCTTTTCTTTAATAACTAGGAATTCTAATCTAATTAGATCTCTCCGATTTCGGGTGAATAGGAATCTTAATCTAAATAGAAAAATATAATAATATGAATAATTAGGAATCTTAATTCAATTAGATCTCTTCAACTCCGAGTAAACGAAATAGGAATCTTAATCCAAATGTAAAAATATAAGAATAGAAATCTAAGAGCAACTTCAAGAGATTAGCCAAAAATAGATTTCAATATGCATGATTTAGCCATCTTCTAAAATAAAATCTCCTCAAGCCATGGTAAATTTCCTATTTTCATAGTTAAAACTTACCATGTCATCTACTATTCGTTTTGGTTCCACCAATCAAATCAACTAGATACGGGAGCCCCGTGAAATCAGGCGAGATAGCTGATAGCAAGCGCCCCCAGGCTTTGGAAACCCAGATAGCATATCTGTTGGAAGACTATTTTATATCATAAATTGTTTAAAATGGGCTCAAAATCAAAAATAGCATCACTCTTGGAGTTGCTTAATAAAGAGGAAAGAAGGGTAGAATTTCTTTATTTCGTTTCTTTTTTCTGTTCTTTTTTCACTTTTTCTGGTTTATCCGTTTTAACTGGCTCCGAGTATGTGTTGCTTTACGTTCATTTCGACGTTTTTCACTTGGCTCCAAATATGTTCTGATTTTTTTTTCGTGGCTATTTTTTAGAGTATATTCTAATTTTTGTCATGACTGTTTTGTACTTTGCTTCGAGTATGCTCATATTTTTTTTTTCTCGTGGATGTTTTTGACACTAGCTCGACTTTTCTGATTTTGTTTTCATTGTTTTCTCCACCTGGTTTTTTCGTGTTCTAATAAATATAATAAGAGTAAAAACAAACAATAAATAAGGGATCAAAGCCATTTTAATCTTTGACTTCTTAAGAAATAAAGATTTTTATCACTAAGTTAATTTAATTTTTGACTTCAATTTATGACCCGTGCTAAAACTCACTACGTATTGGATCCCATTGCAAAGCACGGACATGTTTGCTAGTATATTTCAAAAAGTCAAAAGCACCCACATTATGTTCTTGGATGGGCTTCTATCTACTTATGTAGAAAGTATACTTTTTCGATACAACGCTTGCTGCTCCAAATGCTCTAATACAATGTCGGCCGGCGGGCTCTTGCCCAAGTCCGCGGTGGCGGTGGGGCCAGGTCGCCCGTGCCTGCGCGCCCGTTGGCGGCCAGGGTGGCTGTGGCGGTGGCCTGTCAGACCTGCTTGTCCGTCTGTCAGACCTGCTCGTCCGCTCCTCCTCTTAATTTTTAACCATTAATTAAATCTTGTGAGATGGATGGCTCTCATTATTGGTAATGGTGATTTTGTGAGCTGGACCTGTGTGCTGCAGCCCGGGCCCTCCGCCCCTACCCACAAGGCCACAGCGATGTGTCTTCGTCTCGGTCTTGGTCGTCGGTCGTCGCAGCTGCAGGGTGTGCAATGCAAAGCGTCTTCGTCTCGGTCTTGGTCACGCACTCACGCTATCGTCGGTCGTGAGTCGTCGCAGCTGCAGGGTGTGCAATGCAAAGCCACTTGTTCGCTTAGCCCGTGTTTAGTTTTCAGGCTAAATTCCAAAAAAGCGCTACGGTATCCATTACATCGAATCTTGCGATACGTGTATGGAGCATTAAATATAGACGAAAAAAAACTAATTGCACAGTTTGGTTGGAAATCGCGAGATGAACAGTAACCCAAATTCCAAAATTCACCAAACTAAACACGCTGTTAGTGAACATATGCTCGTTAGTGAACATATGCTGTTCAACCTTTCAAAAAAAACATATGCTGTTCAGACTCTGTGCGGTCTGTCTATCTGTCTATATCTATATATAAGGATAGTGAGGGAACGGGCAGACCATCACCAATAATTCACCGTAGAGAAAGAAACAAAGCTCTTAGCCCACGACATTGGCAATCAACATTCCAACATGTCGTCCACCTCCGGCCACCACCGCAGCTGCTACTAGTGTTTCTCGTTCACGTATTCCTCGGAATCCAGCTCTCCTATTCTCTTACCACCTATAGCAGCAACCAAACTTCCCTACCAGTTCGTTGCCGGCCGGACCAGGCGTCGGCGTTGCTCCGGCTGAAGAGTTCCTTCTCCACCGACGGCTGGGGTCCCTTTGATAGGGAGGACGTGTGCACCGCCCTTGCATCGTGGCAGGCGGGCACGGACTGCTGTGGCTGGGAGGGTATTCACTGCGGCCATCATGCCGACGGCCGCGTGACCACCCTCGACCTGGGTCATTGCGGGTTAGAGAGTGGCACCCTGCACCCCGCACTTTTCGATCTAACCTCCCTCAGGCATCTGGACCTTTCCTGGAACAGCTTCAACGGCTCACAACTCCGTGCCGATGGGTTTGAACGACTCACTGAGCTTGTTCATCTCAACCTCTCTTCATGTGGATTTGATGGCCAAATACCACATGCAATAGGACAGCTCACCAAGTTGGTAACCCTAGACCTCTCTACTGAAATGTATCTTTTTGAAGAATATGATGATGTTTTGTCCCTTGCTTCCTGGTCACGTGAGTGGGAGCTGGTAGAGCCAAACATCTCATCATTCGTTGCTAATCTTAGTCATCTCAAAGAGCTTTACCTAGGCGGAGTCGATTTGTCCGACAATGGAGCAAGCTGGTGTAGTGCCTTTTCTAATTCCACCATCTCTCAACTCCAGGTTCTTAGCTTACCATCTACCGGCCTCAAAAGTCCCATCTGTGAATCAGTGTCCACTATAACATCACTCACTGAGGTCAACCTACAGTATAACGAGTTATACGGCCGAATTCCGGAGTCCTTTGCTGATTTACATTCGCTTAGTGTTCTTAGACTTACCTATAACTTTCTTGATGGATGGCTCCCCTCAAGGATCTTCCAAAACAAAAACTTAACAGCTATTGATGTCAGGTATAATTTCAAGTTATCCGGGTCATTGCCAAATTTCTCATCAGACAGTATTATCGTGGATCTGCTTGTCACTGGAACTAACTTCTCTGGTCCTGTTCCGAGTTCCATAAGCAATCTCAGATCCTTGAACAACTTGGGTATTGCATCAACTTATTTTTCCCAGGAGCTTCCATCGTCAATCGGTGAGCTAAGATCATTAAGCTCGTTACAGGTATCTGGGACTGGTATGGTAGGGGCAATACCATCTTGGATTGCAAACTTAACTTCTTTAATAGAGCTCCAATTCTCGGACTGCAGCTTATCTGGAGAAGTACCTTCTTCCATAGGTAATCTCAAGAACCTATATAGTTTAAAATTATACAATTCCAATTTTTCTGGCACACTACCTCCACAAATGTTTAACCTAACTCAGCTGGAACTCCTGTATCTTGATTCAAACAACTTCCATGGTATAGTGGAACTCAGCTCATTCTTGAAAATACCCCAACTGTTTGGTTTGAGCCTGTCAAACAACAAATTTACTGTAGTAGTAGACGACGATGGCAATTCTTCAGTCACCAATCGATTGCATGCTTTGCGCCTAGCAGCATGTAACATATCCAAGCTCCCTAGTGTCTTGAGGCATTTGCATTCTGTTCAATATCTTGATCTTTCAAACAATCAAATCCATGGCACAATACCTCACTGGGCATGGGAAACTTGGAAAAGCTTGGTAGTTCTGAACTTATCGCACAACAAATTCAACAGCATAGGATATGACTCTATTAATCCAATTGATATAGACGTTATTGTCCTTAGTTTTAACCTATTCCAAGGGCCCATACCTATACCAGGACCCTCTACTGAGGTGCTTGATTGCTCGAACAACAAGTTCTCATCCATCCCACTTAATTTCGGATCTCACTTTGTATCTTTCAACTATTTTAATGCCTATGCAAACAACCTCTCTGGAAATATCCCACCATCGATATGTGGAGGTGGAACATGGACTATGGACCTTATTGATCTCTCCTACAACAATCTTAGTGGTTCCATTCCATCATGTTTAATGGAGGGTACTAGTGTGACTTTATTAAAGCTGAAAAGAAATCGCTTACAAGGAGAATTACCAAATAATATGAATCAAGATTGTTCATTTGAGGCATTAGATCTTAGTTACAATCAGATCAAAGGAAAATTACCAAGATCCCTAGTTTCTTGCAGAGGCTTGGAGGTCTTTGACATTGGGAATAATCATATCAATGATATCTTTCCATGTTGGCTGAGTGTGCTTCCTGAACTTCAAGTGCTTGTTTTGAAGGCCAACAAGTTTGCAGGGGAGGTGGGGCCTTATACTGCAGGAGAAAAGAACAATTGTGAGTTTATAAAACTCCGAATTCTTTGACTTGGCTTCAAACAAATTCTCTGGCACTTTACAAGATGAGTGGTTTATGACCATGAAATTCATGGTAAGCATATCTGTCAATGAGAGTCTGGATAATCATGTGAGTCAACTTGGGCAAACATATCAGTTTACCGATGCAATCACATACAAAGGGAATGAAGAAGTCACAATTTCCAAAACTTTGAGCACCCTTGTACACATTGATGTTTCGGATAACTTGTTCCATGGTGCAATCTCAAAGTCAATTGGTGATCTTGGTCTACTAAATGGTGTAAACATGTCACACAATGCCTTCACTGGCCCAATCCCACCTCAGTTTGGTGCTCTGAATCAACTCGAGTCATTGGATCTCTCTTCAAATAATCTGTCGGGGGAGATTCCACAGGGATTAGCATCACTGAACTTCCTCTCAATGTTGAACCTGTCCTACAACGAGCTGGTGGGGAGAATACCAGATTCACCTCATTTCTTGACATTTACCAACCTCTCGTTCCTGGGCAACATTGGCCTGTGTGGGTTTCAGGTGTCCAGAGCATGCAACAACACAACACCATATGTGGAGCCACATCATTCAGAGACGAAATCAGTCGACCTTGTGTTGTTCCTTTTTACCGGACTGGGATTTGGCGTCGGATTCGCAATTGCAGTTGTCCTGACTTGTGGAATCCATGTTAGGAGGAGATCCCAGAACCACATATTTCTGTGCTGCAAGAAAGTTCTCTTCTTCATGTAGATGGCCTGCGAATGCAAATAGAAATGCCTCTGCATTAGTGAGTATATTGCTATGTTTGTATCATCAATAGTGCTGTACTGCTTGCGCAAAAAAAATAATAATAATGTTGTACTGAATGTTTGAACCTTGTAAGTGTAAAAGACGAAGAGCGCAGGATGACTATAGCCTGTTCAATTCACCATACACCATATATTCATACCCCATTTTCAGGTATTATTTTGGCTGCATTTATCCAGAGCACGTATATATATGAGTTAACAAACGCATGTCATGGTTAGATGGTGCCCTCGCGCTGTCGCCTGTCGGTGAACTTGGCACCGGGCGAGCTCGGGGGCACGGGCCGCAGGGGCGCTGGGCGTGGGGGCGCCGGCCGTGGGCGCGTCGGGTCGCAGTGGGCGCAGGGGGGCCCGGCCGGGTTGCCCCTTCTGTATGGCCTGCCATGGCCATGGTCGGGGCTCGAACTTGTATAGTCGACAGCGAGGAAGACACGGGATGAGCGCAGCAGGTCAACCGGAGGTGCGGCGGCGGGCCGGTGTCGACGCCGCGCGATGCGGCGGCGCCGGGGAATTGGAGACGGGTAAGACGAGAGCCCGCCGGTCAGGCTGTCGGCTTAGGAAGAGTGATTAGGTTATGCGTTTTAGAGAGTAGTTGGCTGATCTCTCTTCTTCCTTCCCTTCCCACTACTTCTACTGCTCACTGCTCGGCTTGGGCTCGCAAATGTTATAGACCCATTCTGGGTCGGTTACTCTCTTGTTCTTGGGCCTACTGCGAGAACTCCTCTTGGGCTCGGTGTTGACTGGGTGCGGCGTCGTGACACCCCCCTCCCCTTGCGACCCGGCATGTCCCCAGGCCGGAGCAAACGGAAAGCGCTGCTGTATGGCCTCTGCATCTTCCCAGGTGGCGAGTTCCGCATCCAGGCCGGACCACTTGATCAGGAATTGAACAACCGCACCTGTGCGACGGGGATGGAGACGGCGCTGCAGCACTGCCTCAGGAACTTGCAAGCCTTCTGCCAACTCTGGTGGATCCACCGAGATAGTATACTTGGTCGAAGGGGCAGCCTTGAGTAGAGAGACGTGGAATACCGGATGAACAGACGACGACTCCGGCAGGTCTAGCTTGTAGGCGACATCTCCAATCTTCTCCAGCACCTTGTATGGCCCAAAGTAACGGAAGGAGAGCTTCTGATGGGCACGAGGAGCAAGTGACGCCTGGACGTAGGGTTGGAGCTTGAGGAACACCATGTCGCCGATGTTGAAGGATCTCTCTGATCGGTGCTTGTCAGCATACAACTTCATGCGATGTTGGGCTCGGAGAAGATGTTGGCGAACCAGATCAAGCATAGTGGAACGCTCAGTAAGCATAGTTTCAACATCAGGTACAGATGATGCTTCAGGTGGTGAAAGGCTGAAGTGGCGAGGAGGGTGTCCGAACAGTACCTCGAATGGCGACCTATTGAGTGAAGAATGGAGACAGGTGTTATACCAATACTCCGCCAAGCTGAGCCACCGCAACCACTGCTTGGGGCAGGAGTGGACAAAGCACCGGAGAAATGCTTCGAGGCATTGGTTCACCCGCTCCGTCTGGCCATCGGATTGAGGGTGGTAGGCGGAGCTCATGCATAGCTTGGTACCCGCCAAACGGAACAGCTCCTTCCAGAAATGGCTGGTGAAGATGCGGTCACGGTCGGAGATGATGTGGGTTGGCATGCCATGTAAGCGGCAAATATTGTCAAGGAAGACCTGAGCCACTTGTTGAGCGGTGAATGGGTGAAGTAGAGGCACGAAGTGGGCAAATTTGCTGAATTTGTCGATGACGACCATGACGCAATTAGCGCGCACAGAGCGGGGGAGCCCCTCGATGAAATCCATCGAGATGACTTGCCACGACTCCGAGGGTACAGGCAGCGGCGAAAGGAGTCCCAAGTACTTGGCATGATCGGGCTTGGCCTGCAAACAGATGGTACAAGAAGCAACAAGTTGTTTGATGTCAGATTTCATACCCCTCCAAGCGAACAACTTCTTGATTTGGGCGTAGGTAACAGGGAACCCAGAGTGGCCACCGATAGCGCTGGAATGTAATGCTTCAAAAATTCTCAGCTGGAGGGTCTTGTTGTCACCCACCCAAATGAGATCTCCAACGTGAATAATACCATTGATCAGAGTATAAGGAGGGTGGATATCACAGTTAAGTGCCAGTTCCTGCAGTAACTTGCGAGAGGTTGGATCAGAATCATATCCAGCAACCACATCTGACAACCATGTCGGTGATGAAGAAGAGATGGCATTGAGCTGTTCCGGAGGCAAAGGGTGCCGTGAGAGAGCATCAGCTACCCAATTGGAAGACCCTAGTTTATAGACAACCTTAAACTGCAACCCAACGAGCTTGGTGTAAAGCTTCATCTGCCACGGAGTCTGCAGGTGCTGCTCAGTAATATGCATCAGGCTCTTTTGGTCAGTGAAAATAGTGAACTCGTCGTGTTGTAAGTAGGATCTCCAATGCTCCACTGCCACAAGAATAGCCAAGTATTCTTTCTTGTAAGTAGATAAGCCACGCGAACGAGGGCCAAGCGACTTACTAACAAAGGCCAATGGGTGACCATCTTGAAGGAGGACTGCGTTGATGCCGACATCACTTGCGTTAGTCTATAACTGGAAAGGCTTGGAGAAATCGGGCAGGGCCAAAACTAGGGCTTCAGTGAGAGCCTGCTTCAGTGTTTCAAAGGCTACAATATGGTTGGTAGTCCAAACAAAGAGCACGCCCTTCTTGAGCAGATCAGTCAAGGGCCTGGCAATCACAGTGTAGTGCTTAACAAACTTCCGGTAATAACCTGTGAGTCCAAGGAAGCTGCGGAGCTGCTTGACATCAGTTGGTTGCGGCCAGGCTTGCACAGCGGCAACCTTTGATGGATCTATGGAGACTCCCTGCGCACTGACGACATGACCCAAGTAGTTGATAGATTGCTGAGCAAAGCAGCATTTGGAGAACTTAACCAGCCACTGGTCTTTGGAAAGCAATTCAAAAACTTGTGCCAGGTGCTTAACATGGTCTTCATAAGAGGCGTTGTACACAAGGATGTCGTTGAAAAACACCAAGGCACACTTGAAAAGGAGTGGATATAATGTATTGTTCATAGCACCTTAGAATGAACTTGGGGCGCTGTTAACCCGAAGGACATGATGGTATACTCGAACTAGCCCTAGTGTGTTTGGAAGGCAGTCTTGTGTTCTTCCTTAGGAGCAAGGCGAATCTAGTTGAAACCTACCCGTAGATCCAAACAAGAGAACCAACTGGCCCAGAGAGTTCATCCAAAAGTTCATCGATGATCGGAATGGGAAACTTGCTCTTCACAGTGAGTGCGTTGAGTTGGCGGTAATCGACGCAAAAGCGTCAGCTGTTGTCCTTTTTCCTGACCAAGAGAACTGGAGAAGAGAAGGCGCTGGTACTAGGGCGAATGAAACCAGACTACAACATCTCTGTCACCTGAGCCTCAATCTCGGTCTTCAAAGCCGGCGTAGCGAAAAGGACGGGTAGAAATAGGCTGAGCACCTGGAATGAGGGGAATGGAGTGATCATAAGCCCGACACAGAGGCAGCTCGGTTGACAACCTGAATAAGTGTTGATACTGAGACAACAGCGCCTGAATCTCTAGCAGATCACTGTGCACTGATGAAGTCAATTCATCCCCTTCAGCGGACAGATGATGGAGCTGAACTACCGAACAATCAAGCTGCTCCGATAGACTGCCTTGTAACACCACATTGTTGGGCCCATAAGGAATTTGAACCCAACATTGAAGCCAATGAACTTTCATGGGTGAGAATGCCTGTAACCAATCCATACCCAGAATCATGTCATATGTGCCAATGGGAATGAACTTGAGGGTAGAATGGAAAACATATCCTTGAATAGACCACTCTGCATACGGAATTTGAGCAGTACAAGGTACTGAGCCGCCATCGGCAATCTTGACAGAAGTTGGAACTGACAACTGCTGGACCCCATTCAGAGAAACTGCCCATTTGGTATCCAAAAATGAGTCGGTGCTCCCAGAATCTAACAAGATGTTGATACGCTTGCCTTGGAGCAAGCCTTGAAATTGTAGAGTTCTGGGGTGGAATGATGAAGAAACAACAGCAGCAGACATGAGCATGAAGGAGTGATCTGCAGTAACAGGAGTCTCGGGCTCTAAACTTTCTGTCTCGGTGAACAACTCTTCACAAAGATCCCACACCTCCTGTAATGCATGTAATTGGAGGGCCGAAGAGCATTTGTGGCCCTGGTGCCATTTCTCCCCGCAACGCATACAGAGGCCACGGGCTTTCCTGTAAGAGCAGAGGGACTGCAACTTGTGGTCAACTGACACGCGACAAAAGTCAGGACGACGGTCTTTAGGATGGTGCTTCGGTTCCAGTGGCATGGGAGGAGCTAGAAGAGCCAGTTGCTGGGGTGGCGCAGGAAGCGGCAATGGCCCCCGAGGCGCAGCCGACTTCAGGAATGCGGGAGCATCAGTACGCCGGAACTCCCTTCGGCGTGTCGGCTCAATGGCCTCCTCCTACAAAAGTGCAAGCGAACAAGCAGCATCGAGATCGGTTGGACGCTGAACAAGAACAACAGAGCGGATATCGTCGCGGAGGCCATCGATGAAGCGTGTGGTGTAGGAGAGAGTATCTGGGTTAGGTGTGTATGCCGAGAGCTGCTCAATAAGGTCAACAAATTGATCGACGTATTCTTGAACCGACGCGGTTTGCTTGATGTGGAATAGTTGGCGGATGAGAAGTTCGTGTTGATCGCGGCAGAATCGCTCGCGCACCATTGCACAGAAGTTCTGCCAACCAATGTGTTCAAGGCGGTGTGCAATGGATTGAATCCAGCGCTTGGCTGCACCGGTGAATTGCATTGTAGCAACTCGAACCCACATGGATTGATCAACAAAGTACATATCAAAGTAGGAATGGGCCTGAGTGATCCACAGTTGGGGAGTGGTACCATCGAATTAGGGGAAATGATTTTGGGTAATTGGCCAAGGTGGGAGGATTGGGGTTGGATTTGGGTAGGATCTGGTGGTGGGGAATGAAGGTGGGCATCTGTGACGTTGAAGGTAGGGTTGGGAGTGGGAGGAGGACAGGGATGTGGAACGGGTTGAGGAGGAGGATCGGGGAATCGGCACGTACCATTGGCCGGGGTCGGAGCTATGGTTGTGACCAACCCATAGCCCTCTCCCGTGTAGTTGATTCGACGCGGTGCCCGCTGGGCTAGTCAGTCGGTGTCCCGGTAGATGAGCTCGCGGTGACCAACTCCGGCTACCTCAGGGTGCCCGATGTGGGCAGCTCTACCACAGCGCGACCTCCACTCGACCGGAGATTCTTCACCTCCAAGCAAAGATCGTCGATTAGGCCGTCCACCTCCGGGCGCCAATTGACGACCTCCTCCACAGCGGTCTCGACGGTGACCACCCTGTCGTCGCGCTCGTCGTTGATCTCGTGGATGCGAATCAGCTCAAGATCCACCATCCGCTGCTCGAGGTTGGAGACTCGCTCATCGAAGTGGCCCCCCAGTTGTCGGTGACGACGGCGGTGGTGTACTGTGCAGAGGCGTACTCCTCCAATGACTTGATGCGTTGGTCCACAGCCTCGTCCCGCTCCTAGAGCTCGAAAGTCGCCTCCTCGAAGCGGCGCTCCCATCGACCGCTGGAATCGGTGCGGAGGTCATCGATCCGCTTGAGGACTTCGTCGAAGAGAGAGCGCACGTTGGGATCCATGACTCCCCTGGTGCGCTGAACACGGGTGAAGTGGGAGTGTGGCTCCGGTGGATCCAGCCCTTGGAGGCGCCGGATCGATGGCTCTGGTATCGACGCCGCGCGATGCGGTGGCGCCGGGGAATTGGAGATGGGTAAGACGAGAGCCTGCCGGTCAGGCTGTCGGCTTCGGTAGAGTGATTAGGTTATGCATTTTACAGAGTAGTTGGCTGATCTCTCTTCTTCCTTCCCTTCCCACTACTTCTACTGCTCACTGCTGGGCTTGGGCTCGCAAATGTTACAGACCCATTCTGGGCCGGTCACTCTCTTGTTCTTGGGCCTGCTGCGAGAACTCCTCTTGGGCTCGATGTTGACCGGGTGCGGCGTCGTGACAGCCGAGATGGGAGCTCGTGCGGGCGAGAGCGAGAAAGATGGAGGGGGATGAAGAAAGCGGGAAGATGCAAAAATATCATTTTCCGTGTCCTGAAAACGCAGTCCCAGATTGAGCTGATGAGTATCTTTTTCTGTCGTGACAATTTTATACTATAGAAGTAGCATTTCAACATAATAATACCCGCTTCATTTTAAATTATAATGCATTTTGATTTTTCTAGATACATTAATTTTATTATATATTTAGGCATAGTCTATATATAAGCCCATAGTAAGCCAAAACATGTTATAATTTGAAAGTGAGGAGTAGCAAATAATTAAAAATAATTAAGAGCATATCAAGAGTTCCATAGATCCCTTTCTAATCATTGTTTTTTAGCAAGATGAGAAAAACTTCTTTCCAACAACTCTTAATCCATCCTCCTAATCTTTTAGAACTTGTGAAAAGTCACCATGTTCCGCATAAAGTTATGCGGTTCCAAGTCGTGCGTATCTTTTCTCCTCGCGCGTGTTTGTCGGCTAATCTAAAGGTGGAAGGGCGTGTTAAGAATAAAGAGTAGGAAATGGTTCATAATGCAAATGTACAAGACAGAAAGAATCTAAAAAAGTGGTGAGAATAATTTAGAAATAGTATATGATTCCTGATGTAAAATTGTCTTCTAATTTTAGGAGTGGATTACTAGAAACTCTTGGTGGTGGTCTTCTTTATTTATTTTAATACTTTTTTAGAGTTATAAAACTCTATGTTTTAATGCTCTAAGGGGGCGTCTGGGACTCTTCCACAAACTTCACCGTGTAGCAGCTCCACAAAAAAACTGGAGTTTGTGGAGCACAACTCCACCATTTTTTCTCGAACGGAGTGCGTAGAGCCGAAACCGTTTAGTTAAAAAACATGGAATGGAGCTGAAAAATATGAAGCAGAGCCATCCCAAACACCCCTAAGTATCTCGTATTAGCAGAGACGTATGTGCCTATGTGTACCCTTAGTCCACTGCCGTATGCACTACACATCTTTTCTTCACCGTAGTACCGTGGAGAACAATAAATATATCCTATACAAAGCAAGTTTTATGCCAATGCACATGGTAATTAAAGCCCTCGAACCATGGGGTGCATCGAGATTTGGGATCTGTTCATCCAAAAAATACCTGTTCAGTATTTTACTCGGAAACCCGTGGATCCACAATCCCAATGCAGCAATTTTTCACCCCCGTTTTTTCATCTTCTACTGGAGTACTTGCTTAGCTACGATAAATATAATGGTGAATTGAAACGGTGAAACCCTGCATGAGCTACCGGATTCCCCACTCCTGTTTGACCCTTGCCAGTTCGCCACGCACGATGACACGATCCATGGCTGGCAACAAAGAGCTGATGAGTAATTTATAACATAGTCTTCACCTTAAATAAATGCCCGAGTTATTTTTTTGTTAAAAAAATGATAAGTTCACAAGCACGAAGCAGACACAAAAGCCAAGACAAATAATCATTTTTGACAAATATTACAAGTTGCGAGGGTGCAACTCTCATGCCGTCTAGCCACAATGCGGGAGCACTTGCACTACAGCAACAAGCTGGTCGGCATCCGGCGGCACTATCGCCGCTGCGCGCCGGCAACGCCCCACATCGCCGTAGCCTTCCTCCTCGTCGCGCTCGGCGTGCTTTACCTCATCTTCGGCCCGACCAACTCCGACCTCAACCTCATTCTCGCCATGCCGCGCGTCCACGTCGTGTTCAACGAACCCGCCGTCGTCCCAGCGGCGCCTGCTGCCGCCGTGCCTGCCCCCGGCAACGCGACCGACGACGACGAGGACCGCGGCCTCCCGCCGCCGCGGCAGCTGACGGACCCGCCCTACTCGCTGGGCCGAGCCATCCTAGACTACGACGCGTGCCGGTCCGCGTGGCTCGCGGCGCACCCGGAGGTGCAGGTGCAGCCCGCGGCCGGGCGGCGGCCGCGGGTGCTGGTGGTGACGGGATCGGCGCCCGCCCGGTGCCCCGACCCCGACGGCGACCACCTGCTGCTGTGGGCGTTCAAGAACAAGGCGGACTACTGCCGCGTGCACAGCCTCGATGTGTTCTACAACGCGGCATTCCTAGACGCCGAGATGTCCGGGTTCTGGGCGAAGCTGCCGCTGCTGCGGGCGCTGATGCTGGCGCACCCGGAGGTGGAGCTCCTCTGGTGGGTGGACTCCGACGCCGTGTTCACGGACATGGCGTTCGAGCCGCCGTGGGAGAGGTACGAGCGCCACAACCTGGTCCTCCACGGCTGGCCCGCCAAGGTGTTCGAGGAGAGGAGCTGGGTCGGCATCAACACCGGCAGCTTCCTCATCCGCAACTGCCAGTGGTCGCTCGACCTCCTCGACGCGTGGGCGCCCATGGGGTCACGCGGCCCCGTCCGCGACAGCTACGGCGAGCTCTTCGCCCGGGAGCTCTCCGGGCGCCCGCCGTTCGAGGCGGACGACCAGTCGGCGCTCGTGTACCTGCTCCTCACGCAGCGGGGCAGGTGGGGGGACAAGACGTTCATCGAGAGCACCTACGAGCTCAACGGCTTCTGGGAAGGGATAGTGGACAGGTACGAGGAGCTGCGGCGGAAGGGGCGCCCCGCCGGGGGCCTCGGCGACGACCGGTGGCCGTTCGTCACGCACTTCGTCGGGTGCAAGCCGTGCCGGCGGTACGCCGACAGCTACCCGGTGGACCGGTGCCGGCGCGGCATGGAGCGCGCGTTCAACTTCGCCGACGACCAGATAATGAGGCTGTACGGGTTCGAGCACGAGTCGCTCAACACCACCGCCGTGCAGCGCGTCGGAAACGAGACCGGCGGCCCGCTGGACGCGGACGATGAGGAGCTCGGCCGGCTATTGCACCCCACGTTCAGGGCTGCCAGGCCCACACAGACGTAGTCGACTCCACCACGTTGAGGGCCGGCCTTATGGTTGACTTGTTTTTTTTTTCCTTTCTCTCGTGCCCTCTCCCTTGTTACTCTGACATTCGATTTCATATTTTTATGGTCATTCTGGATTTACTTTTGTACAAGTAGCAGTAGGCATAAAGGTTAGTAGTGGCTGTTTCACTTCAGATTTTTCTTTTCTCCTGAGTTACTAATTTTTAACTAAGGTTTCAGTTAATAACTAGTTCATTACTAAGCCAGCTGTAGCTAACTTAGGATAAAAGGAAGCCACATATAGAGAAATGACTAGGATGACCTCTCCACCTACCATATTTCCCCATATCTCCCCTGTCCCTATGTCTCCCTCTCCCATCACCCACGCCGCTGCGTGCCATCATGCGTCTCCACCCAACCACCGGCGTCCCATGCAGAGAAGCAGGGCTGGTCATCCCGGACCACTCGCCTCCACCATGCATCTAGCTCTGGCCACAGAGGCATCCCACACTAGGAAACAAGTTTGATCGACCTAGATCCACACCCATCCCAGCTGCCAACATCCTTGCCCATTGCGTGTCTAGCTCTGGCTGCGGTCTGCAAGCCTTAGCCGCTTGTGTCCTTGTCCGCTGGTCCGCAACATACCCTAGCACAGCTCCACACCCAAGCACTGACAAGGGTGATGCCGAGGAGATGATATGGCAGAGGAGGAAGGAGAGTAGACATGTTTGAGGAGAGAGGAGAGGGTGGCTTGGAGTGGGAGGAGGCGAGGACGATTGTCATAAGAAAGAAGGCGGGTGTGAGGAGCGAGAAAAAGAAATGGTACTCTAGTCTAGGTCCAATCATTGCAATAAACTACTAGCTGGGATCAAACAACCAAATGTCTAAAGTTTAGCTAGCGAGATCCAAAACAAGGCCTTGATCCTCCATCGAGAGCACACATGTGCTTGAAAATGTGATTCCAATGGGTTGCATTGCATCTCTAGCCCTCAAAATTCGAAGGAAAGCAATCATATGAGTTCAAAACTCATGTTTCAATTCCAATTGCAATATATATCGAAATGGATGACACGGTTGTTAGATAAATTACTAAGCCACGAGGTCATTCATATGACCATTGAACAAGGTGTATGTTCCTGTTGCAATGTACGGGCACGTTTGCTAGTACCTTATAACTTGAAATGAATTTTGAACCTTTGATAAGAGGAAAATTCATGGCCGGTCTTTGAACTTGGCATGAGGTGTCATCTAGATCCATCTCTCAAAATGCTATTTTTGGGTCCTTAAACTTGGTTTCGGGTCTCATCTAGATACAAATGGGTCTTAACCCACTCTGTACGTTGACGTAGCACGCTAAATGTGCATTGAAGTGGACCCGACATATGGGGCCCATTTGTCAGGTCCTTCTCTCCCTTTTGATTCTTCTCCTTTATCTCTTTCCTTATGTCTCTCACCGTCGTTGCCGGCGCTATCGAGCGCTCCCCGACATCATCGAGTGCGATGCCTAGCATGTCCCCGCCGGTGGCCTAGTCGAGCACGGCCACCACGCGGAGCTCCATGTCGCGGCACATCTTGGTGGAGCCTCGATGGTGACCACAGCGTGGAGGCAGGAGAGGAACTTAGGTGGGAAAGGCGCGTCGGTGGCCGGAGGCAACGCGTCCACAGTGGCCTCGAGCAGTGTGCGCTAGTCTGTGTCTGCCCGGTCTCGGTGGATGGGCGCTGCGGGCGCTAGGACCCCGACCAGGACGTACTCCGCATACGCGATGGCCGTGGCGGTCACCACCATCGAGCTCACGCGGCGACCACCCTCTGGAACGACAATGCGGTGAGCTCGGCCACCCACCACCCAGGCGGTGGCACCGACGCCCCTGCCCGTGTCATCAGGAAATAGCGCCTCGTATGCGCACTACTGTCGGAGCGGCGCTGCCGCTGCGGAGGAGGGAGGTGCTGGAGGTGGTGGCGGTGCATCACGACGCACCCGTGAGCGTCAGCGCACGCGTGGACGAGCCCGGGAAGGGGCAAGGGAGGCGCGATGAGGTGCGTCGCGGCGGGGCAAGTCATGGGGAGTAGCGTGGGCATCGGGAGGAGCGCCAGGATGGAGGTGGTGTAGGGTCGAGATGATGGACTAGAGCGGGGGTAAATAGTCCTTTCTAAAAATAATCACACCGGCTAACCGAGATAAGTACGGAATTAAAACTATCGGTCTAGTCAAGACTACACCCCTCTATCTAAGTTCACAAGCACCTTAAAAAGATCCTAAAGAGGCAACAAAGGTGCTGGGCTAGCTAGTGCTCACCTATCCAATTGTAGCTTGCAAGGTCACACAAACCTATGCAACTAGTACTTCAAGCAAACCGGGGAGCACCTACACAATCTAGTGATGCAAAGCGCATAAAGCCTAAGCTCACTAGCAATGCTCAATAACAAGGCTACACAAGCCAAATTAGAGAGCGCAAATTACTTAGCTATATAAACTAAGCAATATGACTAACAAGGTTACTAAAACCAAATTAGTCACGCAAGAGCTACTTCTATGCTACACAAGCAAGAAGGTAACTAGTAAGCTACACAAGCTAACTAATTACAAGAGCAACTACACAAGCTCAAAGTATATGAAAGTAAATACAAGCTTGTGTAATGAGAATGCAAACCAACAGGAAGACACGGTGATTTTTCTCCCGAGGTTCACGTGCTTGCCAACACGCTAGTCCCTGTTGTGTCGATCGCTCACCCGGTGGTTCGGCGGCTAATTGGCATCACCCGCCAAGCTCGCACGTTGGGCACCGCAGGAACCTACCTCACAAGTGAGGGTAGCTCAATGACACACTTTTACTATAGTTGCTCTTCGCGGCTCTCGCGGGGCGAGCACAATACCCCTCACAAAGCTCTTCTCCGGAGCAACGCACAAGCTTCTTGCGTGCTTCGACGGAGACCACCACTAAGCCATGTAGGAGATGGCAACCTCCAAGAGTAACAAGCACCACCGGCTTGCAAGATGACCACCTAGTGCCACTTGATGCAACCTCACGATGCAATCGCACTAGAATCGTTCACTCACTCGATCGGATGAACACTATCAAGCAAGAGTGAGTTAGAGGGCTCCCAAGCACCACCACACAAGCCACCAAGGCTCTAGTGTGCTCAGCAACTAGCCAAAGACCGACCAAGGGGCTATTTATAAGTCCCCACAAGAAAAGCGCCGTTGTACCCCTTCACTAGGCACAACTCGCAGCGACCGGACACGCTGCTTCATTATGACCGGACGCGCAGGCCAGCATCTGGTCACTCACAGCCGTCCGCGTGTCATCCTCATTCAACCGAGACCATAGATCTCCAATGGCTACCATAGTGCCCCAACGGTCACAGGATGACCGGACGCACCGCTGGCACGACCGGACGTAGCCACGCATCGTCAGATCACCCGCGCGCTCTCTCCACCGAGCCGAGGACCTGACGCTCAGACGAAATGACCGTACATTGCGTCACGCGGAGTTAGGTCGACTCCAGAGAGCTCCTGAAGCACCTTCTTCATGACCTGACGCATCAGGTGTTCACGACCGGATGCGCCACCGTGGCAGGTCCACACTGAGCTTCGCCTAGTCACCCACGTCAGCATACGTCAACCTAACTGGACGCAGGAGCGGCATGTCAAGTCACCTTCAGCGCCCAGCGTTCGGTCACCAGCCAGAGCCACGCCACCTTTAGTTTTCACCGACTGGACGCGCAAGTCCCCTCGGAGCCAGCGTCCGGTCACCTCCAGTGACCACTTTTTACCTCTGTTTCTTCGCTGAGTTGATCCACTTCAACTCCAAACACTTCTCCTTTGTAAATGTGCCAACACCACCAAGTGTACACCACCATGTGCATGTGTGTTAGCATTTTCACAATCATTTTTTAAAGGATTAGCCACTCAACTTGCCACGCCACTCGATCCTAGCAACAATGCATAGTTAGATCACTCGAGTGGCACTAGATGACCGATATGCAAACAAGTTTGCCCCTCTTGATAGTATGGCCATCTATCCTAAACCCGGTCATAAACTTCTCTACACACCTATGACCGGTGAAATGAAATGCCCTACAAATATACCTTTGCCTTATGCATTCCATTCCATCTTCTCCAATGTCGATGCAACACATGCACCAACATGATCAACAATGATATGATCCACTCCATATCATCACGTGATCATATTGGTTCATCGATCTTGACTTCACTTTCTCTTCACCATTGCTTCGGTCCATCGGCCCCAAGTCATCACTCAACTTGCCCTTCACACTTGCAACCGGTCTATCGAGCCAAGTCTTGTCTTGATCTTCTCCACCTTGATCACATGACTCAATGTCATGTCTCATGTGCAATGAGCTCCTTCATCATATGTGTGAGCTTTGCAACATCTCCGAGCCATTTTTACCTTCATGGCATATGTTGCTCACACACATGTACCTGTGGACTAATCACCTGTGTATCTCATATTTAACACAATTAGTCCACCTAGGTTGTTACTCAATTACCAAAATCAAACAAGGACCTTTCAATCTCCCCTTTTTAGTAATTGATGACAACTCTACAAAGATATAGAAATTAAGCACTTTTGGATTCATGTTGCTTGCCCAAGCAATTTTACCATGTGTAAATGATTTTGGACAAGTACCATAAACCGAATTGGTAGTATTAGCTCCCCATACATATGTGCTAGAGTGTTTGGTTTGAAGCTCGCACATATGCATAGATTGAAATTGTGGAAGAGTAATTACTACCAATGATGCTAAGGTGTAAAGAATTAACCTTTGATGCGTGATACCAATCAGAGTGCAGATTTTAACACCATCCTTAGCACCATGAGTAGCTAGACAACAAAAATACTAGAAATCCCATGAGATCAACATTATAAGCAAGGTTCTAGTATTACTTGTAGAAATACAAGTCTAGCTACCATCCTATGCATGCTAGTTATCATATCATCATTGAAGTTCTATAACTAGCATACAACACACAAGCATGCATATCAAATTTAA